TGTATGTATGTATGTATGTATGTATGTATGTATGTATGTATGTATGTATGTATGTATGTATGTATGTATGTATGTATGTATGTATGTATGTATGTATGTATGTATGTATGTATGTATGTATGTACATATAAATTCAATTCCAATTTTATTGACGTTAAATTTCAAAAGATTGTAGTTCATCTACCCTAACTGGTTATCAAATTTTATGAACCAATGCGACCCGCGCGTACCCAGTGGGAAGCGGACAGTGGAGCCAACTGGGAAAAGCCACCAGCGGGGATGCCGAGCTGCCGTGCAATTGCGCTGTAACTTTGGTGGCTAGGAGGGGATGCGTAAATTCAATTCCAATTTTATTGACGTTAAATTTCAAAAGATTGTAGTTCATCTACCCTAACTGGTTATCAAATTTTATGAACCAATGCGACCCGCGCGTACCCAGTGGGAAGCGGACAGTGGAGCCAACTGGGAAAAGCCACCAGCGGGGATGCCGAGCTGCCGTGCAATTGCGCTGTAACTTTGGTGGCTAGGAGGGGATGCGTGCCATGCACACACATTTCTAATAGGTCCTTCTTCGTTCGTGCCTCTCCCGCATGCCAAGAATCAGACAAATGAATTTCAGCAGCGACATTAAAAAACGAACAATACTGGGAGAAGTGGTTCCACTTAATTACCTGTTCTCGACAATCAACTCTCATAAAAGGGATACAAAAATAAAAATACCAGCTGTTCTTGCTGTGCGTGCATTGGCCTGTTAGGGACATGTGGTGCTGCGGTGAAAACCATACTCATTGTTTTAAATGAATGTGATACACGAAAGTCAATGCTAATTTTCATTAGCATGACAATTAGCACTGGTGATGTTTCATAAAGTATGTTGAGTATTCAAATACAATGTGCGTAATTATTTTTGTCGTGTGCTCAGCTTCACTGTAAACTCCAACTGAGGTGACATTAAAAAACTAAAAGCACATCCAGGGAGGGGAGAGTAACATACATGTCACACGCTTGCTGCATAAGCAACACAGCGCTTTCACAAAGTGGGGACTTGAAAATAAACACCACCTCTTTCGAAACTTTCTTATGACCGTGACAGGTCAAAATTGGGATCACAATCCTATTCCGATTCATTTTCCTGTACTACTGGATTGGAGTTTTTCATTCAAAGATACAGTCAAACCTCGGTTTTCAACCATAATCCGTTCCAGAAGGCTGTCCGAAAAACGTGTTTCCCATCATAATCAATGTAAAAAATTTTAATCCATTCCAAGTCTAGAAAACAACTTTTTTTTAAAGCATTGTTCAACTATTTTACACCATAAACTGTACACACGTAATCAGAGAGCAGGTAATATGTAAAATATGTAAAATACTGTACAAACAAACTACAACATTTTTTGTTTTATTTTTACCAATTTTAACAAAAACATTGAAGTAACATATCTCTCTCTCATCGTGAATATTGTAGATTGCATTCTTGTACACTTTGAATTTATAAACCCTAAAGTAATGGCTGTAACTAAGGACGCTCTCTCTGCAACCCTACGCTACGGTACGGGGTAACATCCCTCCATCCATTTTTTGAACCACTTTATCCACACAAGTCCAGTCTCGTCCATATTAAAAGTTTGCTGGGGAAGACTTTCCTCGGCCTTGATGAGATTTTCAAACTCAACTTTAAACTTTTCAGCAGCTTCCTTGTCTGAACTGGCTGCCTCCCCATGATGAATCACTTATTTTCCTCAACTTTTCGAACCATCCTCTGCTTGCTTTAAAATCAAACTCTTCAGGAGCAATGCTAGGATCCTTTTTTATCAAATCTCAAATCTCAAATCTCCATACAATTGTCTTGCTTTGCCACAAATCGTATCTTGGCTAAGACTGTCCCCTGCTATTTGTTTGTCATTTATGAAAATAATCAAAAGTTTCTCCACTTCCTCTAATATTTGTGGCCTTCGTTTGCTCAACACATGAGATCCTTTAGCCACATCACTGACTTTAAGATGGTCTTTCTTTTTTCGGATGCTGCTGATTTCGGCATGCTGAACTCCTTAGCCAACACAGATACACGCACACCTGATTCATATTTCACTATTAAATCTTTCTTAAATTCAATAGTTTTGTGCACAATTTTCCTCTTTTTTCGCCAGCTTTACTACTTCCTCTTGCTTTCTTTTTCCTCTTTTTTACACCAGCTTTACTACTTCCACTTGCTTTCTTTGGTGCCATGCAGAAATAACAGTCCAATTTGCGTAAATCTCAATAAACAGGTCTGTTTTTTTTTTAATTTTTATTGAACAAGTCTGCTCACAATGGATGCTTTAAAAAAAAAAAAAAAAAAAAACTATTGAACACGTCTGCTCACAATGGACGCTTTTTTTTTATCTTTATTGAACACTTCTGCTCACAATGGACGGTCTTTTTTTTTTTTTTTTATTCTTTATTGAACACGTCTGCTCACAATGGAGGCATCACTTCTTCCTCTACCCGAGGAAGCTTCACTTCCTCGTGTAAGGAAGTCCAGAGGAGTCGAGTGGCGCATTCAAGTAGGCTCAGTTTGGTCGAGAACCGGAAGCCGAGGGGAGTCGAGTGACGTATTCAGGCTTGCTTAGTTTGGTCGAGAACCGATTTTCGGTCGTAATCTGAGGCATAAAAAACTCAAAATTTTTGGTTGAAAACCGATTTGGTCGAGAACAGAGACGTTCGAAAACTGAGGTTTGACTGTATTTGATTTATAAACAAGAGCGCAGTAACAGTGAAGAATATTAGAATTAAGGAAACTGAGTAGTTGTACAATTTTCCATCATATCCCTGCAATCAGGGCCCGGTGGGCCAGTGGTTAGCGCATCGACCTCACAGTGCAGAAGTACCGGGTTCAATTCAAGCTCCGGCCTCCCTGTGTGCAGTTTGCATGTCTCCCCGGGCCTGTGTGGGTTTTCTCCGGGTACTCCGGTTTACTCCCACGTTCAAGAAAAGATGCATGGCAGATTAATGGAACACTCTAAATTGTCCCTGGGTGTGAGTGTGAGCGCGAATGGTTGTTTTCTCTGTGTGCCCTGCGATTGGCTGGCAACCGGTTTAGGGTGTCCCACGCCTACTGCCCGAAGACGGCTGGGATAGGCTCCAGCACCCGCCGTAACCCTTGTGAGGACAAGCGGATTGGAAAATGAATGGATGGATGGATGTCCCTGCAATCAGCAAAGTATTTTGATTTCATTTGTTATTAGCTGAATGTAGACATTGTAATTTTTTCGGCACCTGGCATCATAGCTGAAAAAGTGGCTGAATCGTTGTTTCTGTGTAGCATTGTGTTTGTTTGGACATTTGCACTTACCATTGTCAATCATCCGTTGCTTGGTCAGAATCATGAGCAGACGGTCAACTTCAAACACCCCCACACCTGGTGTGATGACCACTGACATCTGGCCAGTCCGGTCAAAGTTTCGATTGATATAATGCTTGTCAAACACTAAGAGAAAATGGGAGAGTATCAGCTTTGGTCGATGCCAAAACCTGCCAAAAAGATACTTCAATTGAACTGACAAATCAAACAAGCCAGTCCGATACTTCCAACTTCTTCCAAGAATTTTTAGTCAGCAAATATTAAAAAAAAAAAAAAAAAAAAAAAAAAAATCCCTTCAATAATCAAACAACCACGAACATAGTCCCATATTATCTTAATTGTCACATCACACGTCAAGACATTGAAAATGTATTTAAACAGCTTGGCTCACACACGTCAATCATGCTAGCCATAAGTGCCACAGACCACTGTATCCTGGTTTGATTGTCAGCTATAATGAACTGAGGAGAAAGATGTGTGTAGCATTAGGAATTATTTAACCCTTTCCTAAAGTACAGTATTAATTTCGACAATGTATGACATATTTTGCTGGAAGGTTGTTGATAAACTGGTTCTGGCCCACCTACACCTCGGGTGAAACCTGCTTTGGACTCTCTGCAGTGTGCTACAAGGTTAATGTGAATGACTGTATAATCTGTCTGATGCATCGTTCTGACACACATGGTAGCGAAGGAACTGTAAGAATCATGTTCTCGACGTCTCAGGTGTCTTCAATACCATCCACCTTTTCTGCTGAGTGAGAGACTCCTTCCGATATGTGTCTCATCATCCAGCGCCTCGCAGATGACAGACTACTTCTTAGTAGTCTGGCTACCCATGGTGTATGCTTTGGGAGCACCCTGTCAAACATTGTAGTCAGTGATGATGGAACACAACAAGGACTCTCATCTGTCTGTGTTTACCTCATACACTTCGGACTTAAAATAAAACTCTGGTTTATTCCACCTTTTCTGATGACTCTGCAGTGTTGGGGTGTATTAAAGATGGAAAATAGAATAATTACTACCATGGGGGTTGATATTCAACTCAACTCAACTGTATTTATGGTGCTGCAGTATTATTTGGACATACACGTGAACAACAGACTGTAATGGAATAAAACATGGATGCTCTGCATAAGAAGTGAAAGATGAGATCTTAATGAGGAGGCTCAAATCATTCAATGTGTGCAGCAAGATGCTGAAGATACTTTGAGTCTGGGGAAGAAATTGTTAACTACTTGGCTCTTGTCTGCTAATGCAGCAGCAATAGTAACAGGGGAACTAAAAAGGATCAATAAACAACTTTTATTCAAATATCCATCCGTTTTCTACCGCTTCTTCGGGGTCGGTTCGCACAGCAAGCAGCTTCAGCAGGTATGACCATACTTCCTTCCCTTCTCACCCTATCTCTAAAAGAGAGCCCGGACACCCTGCGCAGGAAACTCATTTTGTCCGCTTCTATCCAGTATCTTGTTCTTTTAGTCATGAGCCACAACTCTCTAACCCCAAGATACTTGAACCTTGAAGCAGGATCTCATCCGCAACCTGGAGAGGGCACTCCATTTTTTTTCGACGGAGGACCATGGTCTCAGATTTGGAGGTGCTGATTTTCCTCCCAACCACTAAACACTCCACTGCAAACGGTTCCAGTGAGAGTTGGAGATCACAGTTTGAAGAAGCCGTAAGTACCACATTATCTGCAAAAAGCAGAGACGCAATACTGAGACCACCAAATCGGGCCCCCTTTGCGCCTAGAAATTCTGTCCATAAAGGTTATGGACAGAATCAGTGACAAAGGGCAGGCTTGGCGGAGTCCAACCCTCACTGAAAACGAATCCGACTTACTGGCAGCAATGGGGATCAAACTCTGACATCGGCAGTATAGGAACTGTACAGACCGTGTTAGGGGGCTGCATACGCCATACTCCTGAGGCACCCCTCACAGAACTCCCGGAGGGACACAGTCAAACACCTTCTCCAAGTCCATAAAACACATGTAGACTGCTTGTGTGAACTCCCATGCCCCTTCAAGGACCCTACTGAGTGTGTCAAGCTGGTCCAATGTTTCATGGCCGGGACGAAAACCACATCACTCCTCCTGAATCCGTGATTCGACCTCCCGACAGACCCTCCTCTCCAGCACTTCTGAATAGACCTTACCAGGGAGGCTGAGGAGTGTGATTCCTCTGTAGTTGGAACACTCCCCCTTCTTGAAAAGAGGGACCACCACGCCGGTCTGCTAATCCAAAGGGACTGTCTCAGATATCCATGCGATGTTGCAGAGGCATGTCAACCAGAACAGCCCCACAACATCCAGAGTTTTTCGGGCATAGGTGTCAAACTCCAGTCCTAGAGGGCCGCCATCCTGCATGTTTTTCATCTCTCTCTGTTGCAGCACACCTGATTGAAATAATCAGCTCATCGGCAAGCTCTTCAGAAGCCTAATATCAAGCCTGTTCATTTGACTCCCGGTGCATCTCATCCATCCCCAGGGCTTTGCCACCAAAGAGCTTTTTAACCACCTCTGTTACTTCAACCTCAGAGATTGGAGAGCCTACCTCAGTCTCCAGGCTCTGGTTCCTCAATGGAAGCCCTGTGAGTGGAATTGAGGAGGTCTTCGAAGTATTATCCCCACTAATTTATAATGTCCCGAGTTGAGGTCAGCAGCACCCCATCGCTATTATTCACAGTGTTAATGGTACATTGCTTCCCCTTCCTGAGAGGTAGGATGGTGGACCAGAATTTCTTCAAATCCATCCGGAAGTCATTTTCCATGGCAAACCTGTCCGAAAGTCATTTTCCATGGCCTCACCAAACTCCCACCTGTACTGCGGTACCCGTCAGCAGCTTCCAAAGTCTGATAGGTGACCTGCATCCGGGCAAGGGAAACAATGGTCCAAATGTCCTATTTGTGAGGGGTCTTTGAGACATGTATTGTCTGGTCCCTCAACTAGAACTTGTTTGCCATGGGCGACCCAGCCAGGGGCCTGACGCCCCATCCAACTTTTGATAGCTGATGAAATCCCTTAATTCTTTGCAATTGTATGTTAAAGAACATTGTTCTTAACTTGTTCACAAAGAGGTAAACCTCGCCCAGTCTTTGGGAATGACTCAGTAAGTAATTCAAGGAGCTACTTTTGTGCAGAGTCATGGCACCAACCCATTCCCGGTTGACCTGTTCCAAACAGGTGTTTGATGAGCATTCCTCAACTTTCTGAACGGTTGTTGTTTTTCCTCATACTGTCTCTACAAAGCACATTTTAAATGATGCAGGTGGGTCTGGAACATATCCCCACTCTATAAACTGAGGGAAAATTAAGTTGTCTAATGTTTACAATTCGACAACTGTTTTTTTTTTTTTTTTGTACTCGTTAATTAGGGTACCAACCATTAAAAGAGAGGTTGAGGGCTTCCAAGTAGTTTCCCTGAGCAGAGGTTGAATTATATCCAGGGGGAAAGCCATCTACCAAGAGGAAAAAAAAGGAGTTGGGTACCAGCACAATATTGAAAACAAAGTTTCCGGTCAAAGTAATCCAAAAGTTGTACCTGCTTCTTTCAGTCGCACCAGAACAGGATACTGAATAAAGAGATTCTTGACAGTAACTAACAATGACGTCCACTCATCACGCCTCTCATTCTGAGCCACAACTCTAATCACAAACCAAAATAGACTCTTCATTCCAATTGAGCTGCCACCTCATTTAATTGAATTACATAAAATAAATAAATACCTGTAGAAGTCCTCATAAAAATGACCTTCATGATCTTGTTGGACTGATGCTCTCAGATGCTCAGGAAATTCATCTGTAAAACATCATCACTCATGTTGCATTGCTGGAGTATTGATGAGCAAACATTTAGATGATGAGTGGCTCACCTTTTGATTTGGCACTGTAGAATGTACGTGAAAAGAGCACAACTGTCACTTCATGACTGCAGTTTTTATCCTATTTAAAAACAGCAATAAGTTACAAATTACTTTCCATAATGTTATATCGAGCATGAAAAATGGCAAAACCAAAAGATAACTCACAAACCTTCCACTTGCCAAAAAGGTCAGAAAGAAAACCATTCACAGCCTTTTCAAAGTATAAATCACCTATAAATGAAATGTTGGGATGAGACAAAAAACAAAAACTAAAAACATGTTAAGTGTGTGGCGAAAACAAAGCCAACCAACAAACCGTAAATGTCGAAGTCCCACATTTCGCAGCTCATTTGGATGAATATGTAAACCATCGCAGATGTGGATCTGAACACAACCTGTGTCACAAATTCACAATGGCAGATATTCACTTTGTTGACTTATTCAGTCATTCATTCATCTTCTGAACTACTTATCCTCAGAAACGATCGGGACCTCGCATCAGGTCATAGTAATAATAACTTCGACAAAATCATAGGGAACTCACAGCAATCACTCCTTGGGCCTAATAAGAATGATTAATATTATTACTATTATTATTATTATTATATAGATTTTTTTTACAAAAACAAAAGTAGCAGTGGTCGCTGCTCAGGCCATAATAACAATATGAATTATAATAATGATAATTTCTACAAAAACAATATCAATTTCTTTCAATGCCAGTGATCTAAAAAAACAAACAAAAAAAAAGAACCTATTGAGTGCCAGTCAATTTAGAGCCAGACAATTTAGAGTATTCTGACTGATCTGACAAAACTCACAGAATATTGTGTTTCATGTAAACACTGAAACTATCTAATGCAAAATAAGACTCTCTTCTTTCATCACACAAAAAGTCTGATTCTACCTAATTTTGTTTTTGTAATCAGCAGTACAACAGGAGTTGGTTTCACCCAAATCACCTCTTTTGGACCCCTCCCCTAAAAATTGGCAGATAAACAAGCTTTTGGGAAAATTATTTATTTTATGCAAAACAATGACTTCTATCCTTAATATGTTTTGATGCTTCAAATATCTGAACAGTCCTTTTCTTCTATAACATTGAAAATGTGTAAATGCATTTACAACTAATCACCAGTGTAACAATTTTACAGAACCAATTCCAAAGAAGTTGGGACATTGTGTGAAACAGATAAAAGCACAATGCAATGATTTGCAAATCATGTTCAGCCTGTGTTTAATTGAATACACTACAAAGACAAAATATTGACTCTTCAAACTGATAAGCTTTATTGTTTTTATCAAATGATCCTTAACCATTTTAATCCCAAAATTTTTCCCAGACATTTAAGTCAAAATCAGGTGTCATTGGTAGCCCTTTTAAGTAATCAGTAATAAAAAATTTTAGAGCCCTGTAAATTAAATCATTGGTGTCCTTCACAAATGTGACTGGTGGGATTAAATCATACATGGCAATGGCGAGTGATGAAAAAAGCGGAAGGGGCGTGGCCTGGACGGGGGCGTGGTTACTTACAAAAGTGGCACTAAACATGCTGAAGATGAAGTGTATTAAATTTACACAGTTTGAAAATTGAACAGAAAAAAATCCCAAGATCGCCACTATTCTTTCAAGTGAAAATTTGTGCAATTTTGCCTATGCATTCCTGGTGAGCACCAATA